AATTTTAGATATAAATTCATCAGAATTTAAAAATTTTAGAAAATTTGAGTTGATACTTGAAATTTTAGATTTTTTGTGAAAATTTTAGATCTAAAAGTTTACGGGTCCCTGGGTTAGGTATAGTTAGTTTAGGCCAATTTGTTAATGCGAGTAAACAAATGATGTCATTTCATAATTTCATGTAATGTGATGATCACGAATATATCACCTAGTTCCTTGTTCTTCAAGTCTCCCAAAAATTCTTCTCATGTTCGTGAAAGATTCATGTTAAAAGAAATTTAAAAAAGTTGCCGAACCTAATAAACATGATTGAACAACATCTCGCCAAAATGTAATTATTGCGAAGAAGACTGTTGATTTAGTTAACCAATTAAAAAATCATTTATTAAAATATAAAAAATTTCCAAGAAAGAAATAAGATTTATTAAAAACTCAAAAGCAAGATTCTGGCTTTTCAAATAATTTATTCACAAACTTATTCAATAGGGTTTACATAGTAGCAATATTATAAACCTTGGACTTTCAATGCCAATAAATGTAAAACGAAAGTTGGGGTAGTTTCAAGAAGTGTGAACCCAGTGATATCTTCGTGATAATCACATTACAGGATTAATCACTCGGCCTAAGTTAGGGTTAGTGTTAGGGTTAGGTGATAGTATTTTTAGGCCAAATTTGTTAGTGCTAGTAAACAAATGACGTCATTCCGTGATTTCACATAATGTGATGATCACTGGGTTCATTCTTCTTTAAGTGTCCCGAAAGTTGTATTGACCGATAAACAAATTTCGCATTTAAAAATACGTAATAGCGATCGATAGTTTTGATAAAAATTAAAGTGATCAAATATATTAATACAGTCAGACCTCTTAAGTGCACGTCCTTGGGGCCACACTTTAATAACGTGCGTATAGAAAATAATAAGAAAGAGTGCATTCAAGAGGTCAAATATATATTTGGGCCAGCACTTGAGCGTGCATTTAGAAAGCGCACTTATAGAAGGTGCACATAGAGAGGTCTGACTGTATTTTTTATTATTATTATTTTTTTTTGCGTAATATAAATTCGAAATAAATAGAGCCATCTTTTTTTTAGAAAAAATTTCTCTGATGAAAATTAAGGGTGTTCTCAAGCACCTTAATCAATCTGCTGAAACGGGATTTGTAAAAAAATAGTTTAACGAATCAATTGTATTGATTATTCCAATGAATAAAACACGTGATGAAGTTTAATACGTCAGAAAGAAATTTTTTTTTAACGGAAGTTCGTTTAACTGATCAAGGGATTAATCATCCCAATCAACAAGAGATAGAGACCCAATCGTCCTTTTTTTATCATAGAGTTGCATTTATTGGTCGGAATTTTTCTAGAAAAATAATTGTACAAGCCTCTTTTTACATTTTCGTTGTGGATCTTCCAACGTCGATCAATTATTACCTTATTACTTATGCTAAAAATCTTCGCCGCAAATAAAAAGAAAAGTTTGTGTTATGTTGATTTGTAATAAATTCTGAAAAAAAAGAAACAGAATTTGGTGTCATAAATTGCTTTATCCTTTCGTTGATTCATCGTTTTCATTATTTTTTTTTCAATTTGTAAAAACAATAATCTTCAAGCATCTATTGTATCAATATTTTTATTAGTCATAAACTTGAACACAAACACGATCATAAATTAATCACATTGAAGAAGATACATGAGCATATTATCATCCACATATCTGTTCTCAAAAATGTTCTAATTAATAACTCTATAGTAGTTGTGCACTATCTCAATCGCTAGTTAATCACATCGAGTGTGCTGTTTGAGAACACCCTAAAATTAAATTTTATCACAGACTTCTATGTTTTAAAAAAAGGGGTATAACAATAAAAAATGGTTTAAAAAAACTGTTAACCCGTTTTTTTTACCATCCCTAGTGACTATAAATCATGATTTAGACCTGATTATTAGCATGAAGTGTATTACCAAATAAATGGCGTTCTTTAATTAAACAAGTAAAAAAAGTGGAGAGGTTAAACATGGCTAAATGAAGGAAACCAAATATATAAAAAAGAAATTGTTAAGAACTGGTTTGGAAAGAGGCTGAGCGAAGCGAGGCTGAGAAATATAAAAAAAATTGTTACAACGATCTTTTTAAATTCTAGAATATCTGAAAAATTTCTGATGATCGAATCGATTAGTTAAATAAATTGTGAATATCCCATCATCCCAGAATAACGTTCTGTTATTAAAAAAAAAAAGAAAAATACAGATCTGGCTTTGAAAGAGGTAGAACCAAGAGAAATATAAAAAAAAAAAAATTGGAAAAAGCCTAAAACTAATTACTTTATTTATTTACTTTTTGTTGAGCTCTATTTCATTAAAAATGTGTAAACTTAGATCTAAAAAATTTTAGTAAAATTAAGTAAAAAACATTAATTGGTTAAAATACTGAATATATATCTATAGTAATCTAATACGGTAAATTCTACTGTAATAATAAATTTCCAAGGGGGCAATAGTGCAATGCACAGGATCGAGCAAATTTTCTGTGAAATCGTAAACCTGTTTGTACTGAATATTAGAAGAAAAAAAAATCGACTTATGAAAATCACGATGATTTTTTAAATGGAACTGTATAAAAATGCTATATAATAACTTAGGTAAAAAAATTTATAACCTATAGAAAATAGTAATACTTACATATAGAAAGAACTATCTTAAAAAAGAATATACTTACATAGGTAGCCATGTTTATGGAAAAGAATAACCTGAAATCAACAGCGTTGAAATTTGTGCATCCTGTAGTGGAGGATTTTCTACCTCTTGTGTTCTAGTAGCGGAAGATAAATTTATGCCTTCGATCAGTTCAGCACCCATAAAAGTATTGATAGATGGATTTTCGACGTTTCGAGATCGTAGAGGCTGCATGTTAGTGTTTGGGGCCCTTTGAAGACGAGCAGAATTTTGCGTAGTACTAATATTATTAATTTGCGGTTGAGTATTCATGATTAAAAAATTTCTTGAAAAAAAAATTAGATAGGTGAAAAGGTAAAGTTTTAAGTCAACACCGGATATAACGAAGTTTTTTAACATTTTTTAAACATCATCAAACTCTTCGGATATCTCCGAAAAGTCTTTGTCAAGAAAAAAATTAGAGTTCTGTATAGAAGTATAAATTACTCTATTAGGAACTTGGAAGTTTTTTTATAAAAGTGCATCGACTGTATTTTTTTTTTTTAATTCGTAAATGTAGTGTTTTATGCCACCACACCGGAATTTCGAATTAAATATCCATTTGGGGATAATCAATTTATGTTTTTTTTTGGGAGTTAGCTAAAGTAATCACCCCAATATCGCCAGGGCAAAAAATGGATCATGACTAAAACGCATAATTAAAATTATTTCAAAACTGAAATTATTTAAAAATTTTAAGTAAAAGTTTCATATCTTTTGTTTGCAAAGTTCTACCTCACACTAGTGATAAGCAAATCGCGGAGGATCACGCGCGTGATCTGCATATAAACCTTTCGGAATTTATTGGAACAGCAAGGCTCTGTCCAGAATTGTGCTGTTAATGCAGGCCAATTGATAAATAATATTACGCGAGGTGCCCACCACTAATAACTCTTCTAATTTATTGTTAGTTCTATAATAAGTACTTTTGGCATAAATTTTCTATCGGATAATCAACCGTTTTTTAGACCAAATTTGCATATTGTAAATGATAATAGATTACATATACATGATACAAGCATTTACTGGTTCAGATAACAAAATGTCTTTAGTGGAGATTTTGCTAGGGAGTACCGCTTATAATGCAATTTTAAGAAGAGGATTAGCAGTCTATCACATGTCATAAATATTGTGATTGGCTGCTAAATTTTGATCACTTTGAAGAAGTAGAATTCGCTTCTAATTAAGAAATTGCGCAATAAACGACAAATAAACGACATACCCCCTTATAATAAACTAGTTTCCGTAGCAAACTACCACTTTGACTTTTTTGGCAATTAAATAAAGGTGCAAACTTAATTTGCCTATTTTATCATTGTACTGTCATTACAGCCAAAGAAATTCGTTGTCAGATTGATTCAATTATAAATTAGTTTTTCTTACGATCGATATTAATAACTTCCACGGGGACCAACAATGTAGCGACATAAACCAATTCTTTCCGTATATTATATTACACTTCTTTATAGTTTCCACTTGCATATACATTAGCTCAAATGAAAAAAATCCCCTATTACTTTTCTTTGTCTGACTAACCTTGTATACGCGTTATACATGATTGCTCTAAATCTCGTAAAAAATAATTTACAGTATATTCGCGTTACTTTAAACAAAAAGTATCTAACGTACTGTACGTATATAAATCCACCAATTCATGTTATACAATATAGGCGGATATGCCTGATGTTATTTTAGGTAAGTTTTTAAGGGATGTAATAAGTTAAAAAATAAACCAGTAGCATTAAAATTTAAACATAGAAAAGTGAGAATATAATTATGGAAAACAAACAACTCCTTAAAACTTTATTATATTTATCAAAAGAATGATATATAAAATTGTATACATTACCATGTTACGTATTTTACTAATTTTAAATTACTTTATTATAATTATCAAAAATATGATATATAAAATTGTATACATGACCATGCTACGTATTTTACTAATTTTAAATTACTGTATCTAATCACGATTTCTAAAAAGGAAATGGCCAATCGGAAAACATAAATTTTGACTATTTTGAATAAGCTCGATATAGAATCCGAACACATGTGAAATAAAAAAAGAAAAGAAAAGAAAAGAAAGCGAAAAACTAATGTTTAAAATGACCTTGATGTGCTGTACTAATTAAAAATGATGGGAACAAAATTTTACATATAATAAGTGAAAATCTATCGTTATAACCTCTAATGCCAATGTTTAATCCTAAACTTCTATCTTTACACACTTTAACTTATTTACAATTTTAAAATTTTCTTTTATGGCTTGCGTTACTCGCGAAATAAACAAATCCTTATTCACTCGTGAAAATAAGTAAATCCTTATGATGGTCTTACAAATAGTCCAATTTAAGTAATTTTAGATCAATCTATGATTGAATTAATTTAGTAAAATTAATACGGTTACAGCATGTGCCGTATTTATTGTGTTGCAATGCCGTAACGTCGTAATGCCATTATGTTGAAATACCATAATGCTATTGTATTTAAATATTATAATGCTAGTGCATTATTGTGTTAAAATACTGTAGAGCTGCAATAATATAGGATAACATAGTAAAATAAATTGATGCTTCGTTATTCGTTTTCATTATTTTTAAAGTGATTTTATTGTTTAAACTTAAGGTTTGATAGATTTCTCTAGTCAATAAGTGATTATTAATTAGCTTATTTTCAAGATTTCATTATGAGTTTCTTAAACATTTATAAATGTGAATTCTTTATTAATTAGAACTTCACTATTTTACAAGTACTTTAATATAAAAAAAAATTAAAAATTTTTGCTTTTTTTACTTCGAATTTTTAATGAGATGATGAATTGATAATCATTGATTAGCAAATACTGCAGCGAAAGAATATACTAAAACGTGAGAACTTGCAGATTATTGAGCATTATTAGATAAAATCAATTAATATTTTTCGACTTTTTATCATGATTTTGGATTAAAATAAAATTAATATACAATGCAATAATAAACATTACAAACTTGAGTAGTTATTTAAAAATGTACTAACTTTATATTCACCCACCCGAATAAATGAAATTAAGATACAGTTTAATGTAGATCTTCATAAATCTGAATAGCTTACGTACTCGTTTATAAATGACACATATTCGCCTGATTAGTTAATGCGTAATTAGGTGCAGTATAATAAGCGTAAAGGGTTTCAAATGATAACAGTAACACGATTTGTCACACGTAAAATTTTATCATGATTTTTTGTAGATCATATAAATTGACATAATAGCATTTTAAAAAATTAGCACAAGTTTTAAATATAATAAATAATACTTATTAAAAACAAACGTTGCTGGGGTTTTTGCAAATCAAACAGTATAAATAACATAAGAAACTAACAACTACTTACGAAGTTTAATGTCTTCAAAGATGGGCGACCATTTTGCCTTCGTAAGCTAGATTAGTTGTCGGTTTGCAAGATACCGGCTTGAAAAGTAGTTTATTAGTTACGCCTAAGTGAGGGCTTTCTGCAAACCTTTACTAGTACATTATGAACGTGCGAAGTAAAATCAGGAGGAACTGTTCTGTGATATATAGATCACATTAATTGCTTGCGATTTCATTAGAATTTCAAATTTTACTCATGATCTGCGTGACAAATCGTGTTACTGATAATTTAATCATATATATTGTTAATTACATTTTAAACTTTAAACGTGAATTACCAAATACATTGTTTAGTTTGACATATATAATTTCAAAATTGATTTTTTTCATATCCAAAATATGTAATTTGAAGCACCCTAATGAACTTAAGCACCTTTTTTAAATAACTGACTAATGAACATTCTCATTTATCTGGAACCTAATTAAAGTGCCATTTCTCTTAGAGTCACTCAAAATGATATTAATATATGTTCTGTTGCATCAGAGGAAAAGGACATATGCTCTGAAAGTATGTACCAAGAGGAGAGCATCTTTTAGGTGTTTAAAGCCTGGGCAAACTGACTCTTTTGAGTTACCAGCTAGAAGTAAGGGAGAGACCAATAAAGAATCCAGATAAGAAGATAGTTCAAATATGGTATTGGGGTTGTTGTGAACCTAATAAGGGCAGAAAGTAAGTAAAGCAACTAATTAAAAAGGTTGTGGTTTGAGATACAAATCAGGTTACAGCAGCATCCTAAAGGATGGTTTGAGATATAAACTTGGTGATGGCAGCACAACAGGTACTAGTTAGTAGAGGTTTAATGGTTAGTCCTGACCCCAAGTACATAGATCAAGCTATGGTGTAGTGTTATCAAAGTCTGGGTGAATACATAAGTAGGACATGTATTCTAGCAAAGTTAGTCACTGGTTTCTGATAGAGGTTGGTTCAAATTTCACAAAATGTAGTACTGCTATTGCATCTAGGGCTTAAATAGTAACCAGGTAAGGTCAGGTATCTTAGAAAAATTAGTTATATGTATTATAGCACCTGTTGTTAAGAAATAGTTCTCATACACAATTTGCTGACAGGCCTAGAGTTTATTACTTAACAAATATAATCTGTATAAGCAATACTCCTAATAAATACCTGGCAAGATAGCCAAAGTTAAAAAAAAATATATTATTTTTGTTTTATAAAGAATAAGTAAATTATTTTCTCTACTAATATTCATTGTAGCAAGTAAAAATAAATTAACAAAAATAAAATAAGCAGTAAATATAATAGAGAATTGTTAATGCCATTTTTATTTTTGCTAATGCTACCTTCCAAATATCAAAAAGTGTTTTAGAGAAGATATTTTGAATTTTCTTTAGTATAGCTGGACAATATAGAAATATTATAAGATTATAATATAAAAAAACTCTAACCCTAACTCTGAGCTAACTTTAATATAAACTATAAGCTCACCCTAACCCTAACTATTCCCAAATTTGCTTAAATTAGATTAAATAGTTATTTATTTATATTATAATTTTATAATATTTCTATATTGCCTAGTTATACTAACACCAGTAAAACGAGGTTCAATAGGGAACCCCTATTGCCGCCTATTTATGGCACAAATAGAGGTCAATAGGGTATCGATTAGAGCAATAGTACTCAATAGAGTACCAATAAGGTACCAATAGGGTATCAATAGGTATCAATAGGGTTTTCGTCTATTGTAACTATTGAGCTAATAGTCACCAATCGAGACCAATCGAGACCAATAGGGTATTAATAGAGTACCAATATGGTTTCGAAAAAAAATTGTTCAAATATTATTAAAAATCCGATTTTTAGACTTTAGCAAAAATAAAATTGACAAACATCTAATGATAGTTTGA